GCATTCAAAGAATTCCACTGACTTTTACTTTGGCATTCAAAGCATTCTACTGACTTTTACTTTGACATTCATAGCATTCCACTGACTTTTACTTTGGCATTCAAAGCATTCCACTGACTTTTACTTTGGCATTCAAAGCATTCTACTGACTTTTACAAAGACTTTCAAAGCATTCCGCTGACTTTTACTTTGGCATTCAAAGCATTCCACTGACTTTTACTTTGGCATTCAAAGAATTCCATTGACTATTACTTTGGCATTCAAAGCATTCCACTGCATTTTACTTTCACATTCAAAGTATTCCACTGACTTTTACTTTCACATTTAATGTGTTTCACTGACTTTTACTTTGGCATTCAAAGCATTCCACTGCATTTTACTTTCACATTGAAAGTGTTCCACTGACTTTTACTTTCACATTCAAAGTGTTCCCCTGGATTTTACTTCGGCATTAAAAGTGTTTCACTGCATTTTACTTTCACATTCAAAGTGTTCCTCTGACTCGCATTCAAAGTGTTCCACCGAATTTTACTTTGACATTCAAAGCATTCCACTGACTTTTACAAAGACATTCAAAGCATTCCGCTGACTTTTACTTTGGCATTCAAAGAATTCCACTGACTTTTACTTTGGCAATCAAAGCATTCCACTGGATTTTACTTTCAAATTCAAAGCATTCCACTGACTTTCACTTTGGCATTCAATAGCAAACCCTCATCCGAAGTGAACGTCCATTTCTCGCATGCTACTGGTAATTCTGAATCTCAGATTCAATCGAATCGAAGAAAATCTACTACGTCTGAGCCCAAACTACGCAGAACTCTGCTGAAAACAGCTAAAATTCCTACATCATATAATGGAAATACTTCACAGTGGAAATACCACCACAGTATTATTTGATGAATGGGCCAACCGTAGCTTTGTTACTCAAGGGTTCGCCAACAAATTACGCGCTAACGTTCATTCATCAGAAGTTCTCAATCTCAAGGCGTTTAGCAACCCGCGTACCGGATATAAAACCATCCCACGTACTACATTGAATTTACATAAACGTGATGGTACCACCACTCCTATTGACTTGCTTTACGTCAATGAAATATCCGATGATCTAACTAATAATGTCACCGCTGACATTTTGCAACTGCCGTACCTTCGAGAATTGGAACTGGCACATCCTATTTCAAGCGAACCAACGATAACAATCGATATTCTCATAGTAGTAGACAAATACTGGGATTTCGTTGGTGACCACATAATCTGTGGTCCAGGGCCTACAGCTGTTTCA